TCCTCCTCCTCCTCCTCCTCCTCTCTCCATTCTCTCACCGTGCAATCTGGTCACTCAGCAGGCTGGAGTTATCCACGAGCTGCTCACGACGTGTGGTCAAGCTCGGGTCATCCTGAGACAAATTCCGGAGAGTTCTGCTCAACGCTTGTTTCCTCTGGTAAAGTTCTGACTCAATCTGAACATAAGTGAAAAGCCGTATTTAGAAAAAACAACAACACAGATATAACGTGTATAACGTCAACAGAAGTAAGACAAAAAAATTTAGGAAAATGTAAGAATGTGTTTTATAGTCTTACTATTTTACAGATGTGATAGGGATATGTTTATATATATATATATATATATATATATATATATCTGGCAGAGAGTAGTTTTTCCTTCTTTTTTTTTAAATTTTGAATTTTGCACGGGTGTCGGACTACTTTAACAGCAGCTACAACAAAATCAACAGCAACAACAACAGCAGCAGCAACAACATCAACAACAATAACAACAATAACCGACTTAGTAAAATTTATAAAATCAAAAGAATAATGACATCAAAATAAGTGATGCCTGTGCAATAGTTGTCAAGGACGATCTGGTATATCAATCGATATTCAACTGTTTACGACATTTTTCGTGTGGTTAGTTAAAAAATCCAAATGGCAAAAATAGAAGGATCATAATATCTTGTCGAGACTGCAGTCGCAAACTGAAAATCGTGAGGGTACAATTTTTGAAAATTTGTTCACTCATAACTGAGACAAACTGGGCCTATGACATACTGTGACACAGTGGGCAGCCTCCCAACACAAACTCCTCACCCATTGCCCACAGTTAGTAGTAGGCCTACTGGCACCTCAGATATAACTTCATTGGCTCTGGTACCGCCACTGCAGTGCTCTCAGAGGGCACTATGAAATGAAGTATGTAATCGCAGGGACTCGGATTTTATTTATAATCTTTATAAAATCTAACATAAAAAATGGACAAATTGGTCATTTTTAAGGGTTTTGTTCATTTGCATACGCCATGCCAAATCCCAGGAGCTTAATTCCAATAGACTATACTTGGCAGTACAAACATATGTGAGGCAGCGTTTTGAAATCAGACTCTCGTCCAAATAATGAAAAAAAGAAACTTACACGTTTCCGCTGGTTTGACCATTTTTAAAATTGAAATTGTGTTTTTAGCTCAACACCTTCTATGTCCATTAAAAAACCCATTTCAGTGTGAATTATGTTGAAAAACGTTGATTAAAGTAAAAAAAAACATTTAAAAATTCAAATTGACAGTTTCCACGGACTCTGAGGCTTTGTAAATAATAAAACGTTGGCGGCCATTTTCTCACTAATTATACCGCTGAAACCAGGCGACCCAACCTCATTCAATCGCAAATATCTCGACATGTACTTAAGATAAATGGTTCAATCTTTCATAGAAAGCAAGACAAATGAACAAGGTTTAATATATATATATATATATATATATTGAGTTGTTAAACATTGTACAACGAAAGATTTCACTAAAGTGTAGGAATTGCAATAAATCTGAAAAATTATGTCTTTTGAGGCTTCTGAAACTCTTGGTTCATGTGGAGACGAATGAAATCATTAACCGGAAGTTGTACGTGGGCAAAGTGCTGGTATTGTTTTCTCATGACATCATTGCATCCAACAATTAAAATTTGTTTTGAATGACATAGACAATGTGTAAACACACTTTATGCAGGGCTTTTTAAAATTGGGTCATTTGTTCACCTCTTTTCAAAATAACGAAAGTGACAAATACAGAATGTGAATGCGCTAAGCGTATGATACATTCTGGAATTGCCCTTTCTACTGTTGCTTACTGTACTTTACTTTTACTTTTTTCTTCCCCTTGTACCGGTAGGTGTCGTGGGGAGATAAGGCGTCTGTCTGAAGCAATGCGACTGGCCTGTAGGAGAGACTGGTTTGAGGGCATCCGTGTGAGGTGTCCGAACCGCTTGATCTTTTGTTTTTTAATGTGTGGTAGGACCGGTGTTGCTTCTACTGTATCCCTTATGATTTCATTTTTTTCTTGCCTTGTTAGCTGCTCTTCTTAAACATTTCATCTCGCATGTGACCAGCTTCCTCTCTAGGGCATTTGTTAGGGACCATGTCTGGCACAGATATGTGAGTGTTGGTAGGAAAATGGCGTTGATGAGTTTCGCCTTGGTGCTCATGGGGATATTGGGATGTTTAAGCAGAGGGGTGAGTTGATAGCTTACTGCATTGACTTTTTGGCATCTTGTCTGTTGCGAGGCACGTATATGTGTACAGAAGAACCACCTAACGCTTAAACAAACATTTTTACACCACTGGAACTGTCCAAGACAGACACAGACGTGGCTTACCAAGGGCGACAACTATTGTCAATACCCAATATCAAAATCCGCACCAACTAAGTGCAGAGACTGCCAGATATTTCGGACTGCCTTAAAACAACATTATCAGACATTTATGTGACCATGTACTGTTTGATTATGTGGAACCATTTTGACTCTGTTTCAACGAAGAAATCGCCAAATTTTGGCACGACAACATTGGCGATGGAACTAGAGAAGTTGGTATAATGTTCTATTCTACGATTTGTCGCATTGATAGAAGAGAAAAGGTGTTAAAAAGAAGAGGATAGAGAGTTCACAAAGTCGTTGTCCGCCAAATGGACCGATTCGGCGATTGAAGTGTGATTGTGTGGGATGGAATCTCTGCTCTTCATCGTACATATTTTGTCACTTTTCAAAGCAACCTCAAAGGACGACGGTACTGTGACGGAATTCTTCGCTACAATGTCCTACCCTACGTGGCACGGATGATAGAATGTGCCAAAAGGACAACGCCCGGCCCCAAGCTGTCACGATCAGTCAAAACTCTTTCCAAACTCGTCAAATTAAAGTTCTTGGCTGGCATGCAAGATTAATAGGCCTTAACCCTAACACAACATCTGAATTATGGCCTTGACTGGCAGGTCAAAACAGGTCACACCCTGTGCTCGCCAGGAACTGAAGGCTGCACGTCACAAAGAATGACAGGGGATTCCTCAAAAAACCATAATAAGGACATTAATTCAGTCAATAAACAGATGTTTTGTAGCAGTAAATCAAGTTGGAAGAGGCCATGCGCAATACTGAGCAAACTTTGATTTGGATTTTTCAAGGGTCGGAGTGAATAAAATGTTCTCCCTTGAATATTTGAAGACACTGGCCAATTCCTTATTTTAAGTCCTGTTGACGGAAAATGTACATTATGTGTACCAAATTTTGCTCAGTTATATTGAATGTAAATGAGCTATTGTACTTTTAAGGTTAATGTGACAGAACCTTTGCATCCATATATATATA